CCTCAATCTCTTTTGTATTTCCCTCTCCTGGGTCAATATTCTCAGGTCTAGGAGTGGGGGACTTTTTTTTATTTCTTTCTCTTGTCATGTTTTTGGTTTCTTCCATACAGCTGAATAGAGGAGGTATCAGCTTCTTTACTTGTTGGTTATGGTTCTTCTGATGCACACTGCCTAAGGATTTCTGCATTCTCCAGTTCACTGTTGGTCATTGAGATGCAAACAGGGGTGGCATATGTTCACCCCTTCCCTCCAGGTCAGTCACCCTTCAGGGGCCTTCACTGCATTAGTGTGTGCCACACATACGGAATTGGCTTGGGGTGACTTCTTGGGTCCTAGCCAAGGGCATGACCAGGCCAAGCAGGTACCACCATTCTGGTGTGGGCAGGAAACAACAGACTGAAATCACTGCTGTTCCGTGTTCCTGTCCAACCTGCCCAATTTGAATGTGTCGTCCAGTTGGTTGCCCCTTTCCCATGGAATGATCTTATTTCCAGCACTCACAACAGGTCAGTGCAGGTACCTTGCTGGCTCCATTATTTATTGGACTTGCAAACCTCCCACTTCAGTGGCAACCATTGCTCCAGCAAGTCACAGCAGCAGAAGTTCAGGTGGCCCCAGCAAGTCACAGTGGCTCCAATAGTAGTCCCAGTACTGCATGTCTGACCACCTCTTTTCCCTTTAGTTTCTTCCTGTGTCGAGAGGATCTGTCTCCCTCTGTCTGGACCGCTCCATGATGTTTTATTGCAGCAGCTGAGTTGTCTGTCTCAGGCAGCCTCTGGATTCTGCTGCCTTACAAACTGCCATCTTTAGCTCCTCCCCTAAAGTACAATTTAATGATGGCAGTGTTATTATTTCACTGACTTTTCAGGTCTAAAGCCTGTAGTCTGAGCATCTATTCAGAGGATGACAATATGCAATGAAGTATCTATAGGGGATGTCCTTCTGAAGGGGGCAGTCTTTGCTAATTTCCTATTATCTTGTTTTGAGGTCCTATATCCTTTTCATTATTGACTTCATATTGTTTTGAAATCCTGTGTTACTTACACGGGTTTGTTTTGTTTGGCTTTGTTCTATTTTATTTTGCTTGATTTTATTCTTTAAAATGAAAATGTTAAAAAATTAAAAAAGAATTTGAAAGTCTTTGTCATGGTTGATTGGTTGTGTCAATTTGAGAAGTTTCGTTATGTTAAGCTTACCTAAATTGACACTTGTTTCCACACACTGAGGTGTGGAAGAATTACCCTTGGGTGATTCCTTACTTTGATGGTGTAAGATAATTGAGGGAGGGTGAATCTGCTTCAATTACTTCAGAGAAGCTCATTTTTCCTTCCCCTTACATATTATCTCCTGGCTTCCAGCACAGATCCTTCAGCTTCTGGCACTGAGTTTTTAGTCTTTCACTGCAGACCTGTTAGGCTCCTGATAGACTTACATTGGACACTGCAATGAGCTCCCGATCTTGAACTAAATTTTTTGGTCTCCAATGTATAGACAGGCCCTCTGCACTCTTCCTCAGCAAACTCTGGGTGGCCACTCTTAACCAATCTTGTAAATCTGTATATATTTGTATACCCTATTTTTCAGGTGGTTTTCTCCTGAAAGATACAGCCTCCCATCAAATCAAGCTTAGGATCCAACAGCTTCAGCGCTGAACCCTCCCAAACATTAAAAGACAAATGTCAATACATTTCAAACACTTCCAAAAAGATTCAAGAATATGAAACATTTCTAATTCCTTTGATGAAGACAGCAATATGCTGATATTTAAAAATAAGACATGGATTCTACATGAAAATTAAATTGTCAACCAATATCCATGATGTACATGAAAAAGCCTCCAAGAAACTATTAGCAAGCCAAATTCAACAACATATTACAAGGATCATTCACCAAGATCTAGTGTGAATTGCCCTAGCGATTCAAGTCACTTTACTCCATTTTGTTTCACTACAACATAATGCCACAGGTAAGACACCTTAAACACAAAAAAGTTTTAATTTTTACCCTTTTAGAGTCTTAGAAGTTCAAAGCTAAGCTGCACCTCAGACAAAGGACTTCTATCAAGAACATATAAATAACTAAAAGTATCAGGTCCCCAAATTCAAAGATTCCATACAAAATGGACATATGAGAGGGATTCACACTTCTCAGATGAAGAAATGGAAATGGAAAATAAATATATGGAAAAATATTCATCACTGGTCATTTGAGAAATACAAGTTAAAATAACACTGAGATTCTATCTCACTTCAGAAAGAATGGCTGCCATCAAGAAATCAACTGATACCAAATGTCTGCAGAGCTATGAGGAAAAAGGAACACTTCTCCACTGTTGGTGGGAGTGTGACTGGTGCAGCCACTGTGGAAATCAGTATGGAGATTGCTCAAAAAACTAGGGTTGGAGGGCATTAGTGGCATAAGTGCCTGCCTGGCAAGCACAAGGCCATGAGTTTGATCACCAGTGCCCCCTACAAAAAAAGCTAGGATTGGAAGTCCCATTTATTCCAGCTATTCCCATTCTGGGTATTTTTTCCAGAAAAATTCAAAATATCATGGCACAGTGATATACATTCACACATGTTTATAGCAACACGATTTATAGTACTGATACCATGGAAAAAACCCAAAAGCTCATCAACTGCAGAATGGATAAAAAAGATGTGGTATAACATCAGCAGGCAAGCCCAGTCTGGGAACCAGCACCACGCATGGGCTGCCACCTGACTGGAACAGACAGACATCACACCTTTTCAGCATAAGAGATGAAAAATAAGATGTACAAACCATCTCACAGCCATACCCACCATAAGTGACAAGCTTATCTGGAGAAACACAGGCTGTAAGAATTGCTATGGAAGTGAAATGCAACTGGATACCTGTGGTGCTTTGGTGTTTTACTAGCATTGCAGTTCGAGGGCAGTAGTCTATCATGGGTTCAGAAGATAGTGGTACGTATGCAGTGTGATATCTGGTGGGATCCCCTTCCAATGGTTGCAGCCAATTTTTATTCCCTATGGTCTTGTTTTGGAAGTCCTATTTCATTTCCACTGTTTTGTTGGGTTGGGTTTTATTCTCTTTTGTTTTGTTTGATTTTGTCAAATATGATGGCAGGGACAGCTATTTGAAAGATAGCAAGATAAATCCTGGTAGCATTTTGGATTTACCATAGGCTTATTTTGACATCCATTATTGCATTCATTGTTTGGTTTTTCTTGTTCCTACTATATTCTGTTCTGTTTGATTTTTACTATGTCTGAAATTTTCTGCAGAAAACTTGAAGACATTAAAAGTCATTATGGTAACTATTATTGATTTCATAATGTTTTGAAGTTCTGCATCTTTTAAACTTGTTTGTTTTGATTGATTTTATTCTGCTTTATTCTCTTTTAAAACAAAAAAGAACTTCCCAATAGAGTGAAGAGAAATAAAAAACTTACAAATTAAAATTTAAAAAAAAATTTAAGTAAAAATGTTTTGTTTTTTTACAATGGAATATTATTTGGCTATGAAAAGGATAATCTTGAGGCTTTTATAGGTAAATGGAGCCAACTTGAGACCATATTTATAAGTGAAATAAATAAAACTCACGTTTATAAATATGGTATTGTTTTCCTAACGTAAAAAATAGAAATCTGAGAGAATAATAAATCCAAAACATACAATAGATATTACAGTAATAAAAGGAACACACAGTGCTCAAAAGTACAGAACTACAGGGATAGGTGAAAGGAAAAAAAGAAGAATGGAAAAGTTTATATGTATATTGGTAAACATATATAAATGTATGCATGTATATGTTCGCTAGATAGATAACTATACTACTAACCTCTGTTAGTTCACCAAAAAGAACCGTTTGTGCTGTCATTGATTGGTCACTTTTATATCTAGATTCCATAACCTCAAAAACTAATTCTGAGATGACAATATGCAATATATTACCTGGTGTTAATTCCTTACTTTTTTATTTTTTGAAATTCTATATCATTTCTATGCTTTTTTCTGTGTTGTTTTTTAAAATATAAATAATCAATCAAAAATACTACATTATCTCACTTGTTTGAGCAACTCAAATTATAAATAAGGACAAGGCTGTATAAGGGATATGGTGAAATCAGAAGACACTTTCAAAAAAGAAAATGAAACTAGTGAGAAAGCAGAGGGCAAAGAATGAAAGGAATAGAAAAGAAGGAAAATGGAAACAAATCTTTGTGAATGAGGAGGAGAAGCAGAAATGAAGGGAGGGGAGGGAAATGGGAGAAAGAAAAGGACAAATCGAGGTGTATCACATACAGTTACAAATTCCCTATGATGAATGTGGTCATCATATATACCTAAACTGCTCCAAAAATTTAATTAAATTTTTAAGTACAATCAAATAAGGAAAGTTGGCCTTTCAAAAAAATTTTCTCATGGTAAGTTGATAATATGAATTTACACAAGTTTCTAAAGTAAGGGAAGCAAACACATGTATATCAATGTTGTTTATTACTGTTGTGAGTACTGAATATGTGGGGAAATGACTGAATTAATATAGGATTTTTCTTTCCTTCTGTATTTCTCAGGAACCCTATACAATTGCTTGTTGAAAATACCATATCTGTCATTCTCTCAGTGACTCTGAAGTTGGTTTGCTGTTCCATATCCCGCACGCATGGTCACCCCAATTTCCTCCTGCATTGTGTATACCAAGATCTTTGTACATCTAAGGTATTACCAGGATAATACCAGAATTAAGAAAATTTGTATAATTGGACAACAATTTCTCCATGAACTTACAGTTAGGAAAAGACTATTTCCACTGGGCATGAGGTCAGATGTTTCATATCTGAAAATAGCTAAAACTGAACCAGCACCTTAAGAAACCACACAATGTTAACATAGATAAAATTTTATGATCATCAATAAATCTGAAATCAAGACAAAGTTTTAATAAAGATTTTGAGTTGACATGAAAAACTGAGTACTTCAGTATACATAGTTTTATACAATATTCTATTCCAACCTGAAAATAACAAAGGAAAGAAGATAAAATTATGAAACCTGAAAAAAGGCTATTTCCAATATATATCCCCCTACTTCATCAACTTTCAATCTAGGATAAGAAGTAGAGTTCATCATTCTTCAGCTTTATATAAAAATAACAGAAAAAGTTTCACGATTCATTTGATAGCTACAAGTGCCTTTCATTTCTCAACATTTATAAGTTCATATAAATATTATTTAGGATAATCACAGGGTAATAAACAATTTTGTAACAAGCAAACTTTCATTCCGAGTCTAATTTTTAAAACCACAGTTGGCAATTATTTTTGCAAATATTTTAAAAAGAAAATGAAATCACATCTTAGAGATAGATCAAAGGGCAGTGCCAGAAATTTATTCCAGGACCAACTGTACTTAACTATGTCATAATTTTTAGTGCCATACACTAAACTTTATGGTGAGGCACCGAATCATTAGAGCCATAGAGATAAGATATGGACCAAGGACAAAGCACTTAGTTGTGTGTCAAAATTTTAACTAGAACAGAGTTCAGAACAGTTTTTGTCTTTCATTCTTTGATTAGTATGATAACACAGTTCTTGAATCTGCACAGGCCCCCCTTTACCCCTCCTTGTAAGACTCAGAATGAACTGGCAGATAAAAGATAAGAAGCACAGAGCTATTCATTGAGGCCTTTGCTTCCTGAGCCTGGACCCAAGTGTAAACATTTAGAAGTTGATTTTATTAGTTACTTTAAATTTAATTTTTCATTCACCTGTATTATTTGTACATATTTATGAAGCACAATATGATGCTTTAGTTCATGTATATATTGAGTAAAAACCAAAGAGTAAATAGATAGCCATTATCTTAAAATTTTATAATGTTTTCATGACTGCATATTCACATTATAGAATAAAGACTTTCATATTGCTATGTTGGTATATACAGGTAATACATTTTGATGGTGTTCACTGACTGCCCACCTCTTTTTTCCCTCCCTCCTCTGATGGTTCTCCTTCTTCATCTATAAAATTCTACCTTCTGTATGATGAGCATAGTCAAACTCTTCTATTTTGAAATATACACTGCAATAGTAATTATACTGAATGGCATAAAACATCAAAATTTATTCCTTTTATCTCACTATAACTTTGTACCTGTTGAGAAAGCTCTCTTCTCCCTATTCCACTATTCTTCTCTGTCCCTCATTATCACTATTTTGTTCTCAGTCTCTATAATGTTAACTTTTTTAGATTTATCTCCCATAAATGAGGGAGATCATGTGGTATTTGTAACTCGGTGCCTGACTTATTCCATCTAACATCATGAATCCAAGTCATCCATGTTGTCACAACTAACCACATTTTATACTCTAAATGACCAAATAAGGAGGACCCAAAATGGCTGAATAGAAGAGGAGTCACACTGAAGAGACTCAGAGAGCAACTAAAAATCCAGGTAACTGGAAGCAGGAGACAAACATATGTAAATCCTAATACAGCAAAATCAATTTGAAAAACAATATGGCTTTCTTTCAGCAACATTTACAAAAATATTCCTGTTATATTGTTGTAAGTTTTTCCTTTGATGTATGGGTTGGTGACCTGCTTTGTGATTTTAGTGTCAGATTAGTGCTTCCCTTCTAAAAACTCCTGAGAATATCCTGACCCCTAGGCAATGAAAGACACTGAAGTTTCAGAAAAGTATCTTCATACAAAATCTCTGACCACCAATTAATGATGTCATCCAACTCTGATGCTGATTGGTTCTTTGACACTGAAATTACCCAACCCAGCATCACATGAAAAGCATCTTGCTTCTCAGTGTTTTTGGACTGGTGGCCATGAGAATAGAGCTCACTGAGTGAGATTAGTCTGCTCCTCTCTGACCCAATTCTCTCCTGTCTTCCAGAACGCTGTGTCTGTGGCTTCCCAGAGACTCAAGTGTAGCAGCTCTGACAGTGACACTGATGATGCTGAGACCTCCTGTGGCTTTGGTCAGGGACACACAATGTAAGTGCACACCTCAGGTGCTGAGCTACTAAGGGTGGATGGGGGAAGATGGGAGGTCATATTTTACTTTGTCAGAGCCAAGTCCCTTACAAAATCCTACTGTGTTTTTTTTCTTGTGACCACTTATTACTATCATGTGAGTCTCAAATTATTTCCACAAAGGATCCCTGATTCTTGTCCACCTCCTAAGAATTCCATAGGGAATGAATGCATAGCCCATATGACCCCAACTCTGCTCCAAATAAACCACTCTAACCTGGTCTGAGATTTCCTTTGGGGTTTTAAAGGACAGAAGTGTAATGGTGCTAATTTCCTGTTTAGTTCTTCCCTCTTTCCAGTTGAGTTATGCCAGGAAAAGGAAGCTTTCTCTAGAAATTAAATGTGGAGCTGCAACCTTCCCCCTGGAATAACCTCCCACGTTGCTGCCTGTGTACCATGTGAGGTCATAGCAAGAGGCATCTTTGGTTATCTTCTCTTTTCCCTTAACTGTAACATTCAGGAAGCCTGTGCCTCTGTGCTGGAGGTGCTCTGATGCAGTTGGGGTTAGGATGCTCTCTTTCTCCTGTGGAAAGTGATAGAATTTTTGGCAAGGCTAAATAGATAAGAAATGTGAAATAAAATTGGCCTTTAAGAATGTGGAGAGAGACACCCTGACCTTTGGATTCTGGCTTTCTCTCTGCCCGACATGTGGTGTGGGAGCATACACATAGCTTAGGTTTGGGATGGTGCCTAAGGGGCATTACTGATGCACAGGTAGCCCATTTGAATTCATTTCACATCACAGGAAAATTGACTGTTATGGGAAAGATGACCTCAAGATAGAGCCCCTTGGTTCCGCTTCCCAGACTCTCACTGCTGCAGCTTCCAGCTTCCATTGCAGGTCAAAAATCCTTTCATTCCCATCTTTTTATTATTAGGAAAAAGGGCAACATTTTTCTTTCTTTTACTGATTCCTGCTGAAATAGGGTGCTGTACTGGAGTTTAGGAGGGTTGATGGGATGACGGTTGATGCCTATGTAGAAGATGGTTAACAGGTGTTTTAACCAGGACAACTTTATCACTGGTAAATGCTCACAAGTTAGACTGGAAAAACAAAGAGACAAGGTGTTGTGAGTAGGTGGGTCACTATCATATTGAAGGACCCAGATGAGGTAGAATTAAAAGTACCTTTGATTTAGATATGGCATTTTTCAGAACCATGTTGAGATAGAATCATTGGCACGGTGAGGTAGAATTATGAAAAATAAGTGTGAGGTTAGGAGCAGGGAAGTTATGAGAGGTGATTATCCCCCCATCTGAAAGGGTAAAATTTGAGAGGGTAGGTAAGTAGGTAGGTGGGACTTATCTCTGGTATGTATGATGTGGGAGTCTTTAGGAAAGACTGTTGAGAGTCCTGCTGTAAAAAGGATAATTAATAGAATGTAAAAAATTAGGAACCAAATTGGATAACAAACATGACAGCCTGAGAGTTGTGGATGTGAGGACTTGGTGAGGTGGGGATGAGTGAACAAAAGTATGGTTAGATCTAGGGCTGGGAGGGCACCACTTAGCCTGAGTGATGTGAAACCAGGATGGCAGTCTGACAATTTTGACCACTGTTAAGGTTGCCAAAAAGACCAGGTATGGACCACTTCAACTTGGGTGTAGTACTTGTGATGGTTTTAAGTAACAGGACTTTAGTAAGTGTATCAGCAGTCTCCCTGGTTGTGGGAAAGGCTTTTATTTATCCTGAAAAAATACAAACAAAGGTGAGAATATAAAATTTATTTGTCAATCTTCAGGAGGGTTGTGTCTGAGAAATTGGTGAATAGGAAAGGAAGTGGGTGCTAAGTATCCCCGAGGAGAGCATTTACTAGTGATAACAGGTGTAAGCTCTTGAGACCTCAGAGTCTGGGACAGTCTGCATAAACACAAAGGAATAACAAGGCATTTTTAAGATCTAGGACTATAAAGTGAGTGGTGGAGGGAGGGATATGAGAGAGCATGTTATAAGGGTTTGGCACCACTGGGTGGATTGGGGTAACAGCACTACTGAGTATCATAATGTCCTGTACCAGGAGATAGGACCCATCAGGCTTGAGTACCAGGAGAATAGGAGTACTCTAGGAGTGGGTAAGTTTAAGAAAACCATTGTCTAAAATGTGCTTAATTATAGGTTTAAGTCCCTGTAAATGTTTGGAAGCTAAGGGATATTGGGGAACACAAGGAAGAATTGGAGGACCCATGAAATGAATTAAAATAGGAATGTCATGGGCAGTGCAGTTGGGATTGGAGGTATCTCAAACTATGGGATCTACCAGAGAAGAAGCAGGTTTGTAACCTGCATGAAATAGGCCCTATCTGTAAGGCTGCATAGGTTGGACATCAATACCCCCTATAGAGACTGAGGACTTAATATACTGGCCTGAAAACTCAGGAAGAACCCTGTACATGGACTCTGTGTCCACAAGCATAGAGCATGTCTTACCTGAGAACTCTAGTGGGACTTGGGGCTCTGAGAAGGACACCTTAATGGGGGCTGTGGACCCCGAGCCCCATCAGTCTTCAGTAGCAGGTCCAAACAGATCTGTCAATGATGAATCTGGCAGGGTTGGCATTTCCTGTGAGGGCTAGAAGTTAGGAGGATGGTTTACACACTCTCTGGTGGCTAGGACAGTCGCTCCAGTATCCCTGGGGCAAGGCCCCAAAGTAGTGCCAGGATGGGCAGTCTCTTGCTCAATATCCTTCTGCTGCATTTGAAGCATGGCCCAGGAGGGGCTCAGGCAGCTCCACTTTGTGTCAGTGTACCTGTCTCACAGCTCCAAGTGTCACTGCTATAAGATCAGATTGTTATTTTTATCTCTGTCATTGAAAACATGAAAATCCTTATTAAGAAAATTTCCCTATGTGGTTTGAGGGTGAAGTTTAGCCATCTGATTTTTGGAGGATGGTTTTTAAAATTAATATTAATGTTTTATTTAGGAGAGAGTTCAATAGAGTGTCATTTAATTCCAGTTGAGTATAGTTAATTATGGCTCGTTGGAGGGCTGAGCCAGGGCAGGCAGACAGGCTGGGAAAGGCTCAACCTGGCCCTTGCCTCAGTGTTGGTCTTGTTGTTTCACATGCATCATTTAAACTTTCTGGAAAAGATCTGGTGGATCCCAGTAAAAGGAATCCAAAAGGAATTTATAATTATCTCTTAATTTTAGTTGTTGAACGTCTAGAACCTGAAGATGTACTGATTGATAACAGTACAGTACAGAATAGGCAGTAAGCTCAACATAGAACATTAAATGGCTATCAACCATGAGCGTTTTAACATTTGAACACTGAAGAAATTTGTGAAGCATCTCTAAGCGTATGTCTGGATCTGAAAGAAAACATTTGTCATCATACATTACAATAAATTCTTGTTTAAAAATTATTATTTGACTGGTTTCCTAATGTTGGTCTGATTTTTATCTCTTGACTGGAACACAAGAAAAAGGCAGCAGAAACAATTCCAATTGTATATTTGAATGCATGTAAATACCATCAGATCAGCAACAATGAATAGTCTTAGTCATATGAACTTTAATTGAGGTGTCTCCCATAAGGCTTATGGAGATTACTGTAGGCTTCAGTCGATAAACAAGGCTGGTAAAATTATCAGGTGAACACTTCCCCATTCATCAATTTAAGTCTTGTCTAATGTCTCCTCAGCCCAACAGGTTTTATTTAACCAGTTTTAGTACCATTTTAACCAGCTGGCCAACTAGGTGGAAGCATGTTTTTTTATCTATAATCCAAACAAAACTTGATTAAATGGTTTGAGAATACAAAAAAAAAGAAAAAAAATGTTGAGCTCAAACAAGAAGGAACAGCTATTCACAGAGCAGGCAAATGGATAAACATGGACAGATAACTGTACAGTATAAATGGACTGAACAAACAACAGATATATCTTATAAAATCAGAGTACACTCAAATATATTTGGCCAATTTAATAGAGATCTTTTGAAATAAGAATTGGCCTCTTTTTGTCCCACCGTGCTCTGTTTCTTCCTCTGAGCTGACCTTCAGAGCTGTGCTGCACATGTGCTCAGGGGGCTGAGGCTGATACTGCTTGGCAGCATTGTGGAGCACACAGGGTGGGAGGAGCACACAGGAGGGTGGAGCAAGCAGAAAGATGGAGCACACAAGGGGGCGGAGCACAAAGGCAGTGCCTGGAGCTGGGCAGCAGTGTGAGAGCCTAGAGCAGCCCACACAGCCCCATTGTTGTGCACTGGGCACACCCAGCCTGTGCCACCTGCACTGCAGGCACCGCCAGCATGCAGCCCAACGCTATCCATGCATAGCTCCCCCAACACTGTCTGTGTGCACCTCCCCCATCACAGCTTGCATCTGGAAAGGTGGACTGGCACCCAGCACAGAAGGGCTTGAGAAATCAGTAAACAGGGAGAAAAGGATGGCGCTGAGAAAGCTGCGGGATTTGGTGTGTGAGATATAGGGAAGAAGCTGTAAAGAAAGAAAGAAACTTCTAAGTGTCAGGATGGCAAGGATCCAGAGGAACAGAGGGAAAGAGAGACACATTCTTAAAACAAAGTTGGAGAGTTTTTGCAAACTTGTTTTCAATGTGATAAGCTACAAATAAAAGATCAGCTTTTTGGTTTTAGGTAGTCTTTTGAACCAGGCACCTCATGGGTATGTTTTTTGGGGTGCAGGAAGTGATCAAATAACAGGCACATGAGCCTATGGACCATAATCTAAGCCAGGTCAGGCCATCACCTGACCTCTTAGACTGAAGGTAATCAGTTCCAAAACTCATGTTCTTGGTCATCATCAAAAAAGGCACCAGTGGATTTTCTGTGCATTAGTAATGGCTCTGCATAGGGTCTGCCTCAAGGGACATGAGGGCATTACCCCAGTCCAGGGAATGGAAAGAAAATCTTACATGGGGCCCAGTCCCACCACAGAGTAAACTTTGGACAGGGTCGGCTCACCTGCAGTAAATGAGTTAGACCAGTATTGTTTGCAAACCA